TACCTGCCCCCCAATCTCCCCAACCCCTCCCACTGATGCTACTTGACCTCCCAATCCCCGCTGTGGATGCTGCTTGCCCCCTGCCCAAATTCTCTGATCCGACCCTATCTGTGTTCCCATTCCCGAAGCCTGCTTGCTCCCCCATCCCAACCTTCTCTGCTAACCCGCCATCCCAACATACCTTAGATCAGGAGGCCATTTTTTGTGGAGGCCTAACCTCCACAAATGTCTGTACACAGTCTCAGTGACTCAAAACAAGACAGCCCAATGGCCAGTTACAAAATAATGGGAGAGCTGTTGGCCAGAGGAGGTTGGCTCAACTTTCCAAGGAGCTCATCAAATTGCTTTAAACATCCTCTGGTGAAAGGCCAGGTAGCTATCAAGCAGTTTTTGAAAAAGACCCCAGCAAGGTGTTTGTCTTTTTGGAAAAGATATCCACTGTATCCGTGTGCCTGAAGGTTCTAGTAGTTTCTTGTCTCTGCTCTAGACATAGTTAAGACAAATATTCATGTGGACCGCTTGTTGTTTTAAAACTTTTTCTTCTTGTTATGATTAAGCACTACTCTTGTTTGAAGAAGGGCATGTGGCCATTGTGTTGAACAACAGTCACAAGATCCCAAAGGGGAAACCAGAAGCTGCTGAATAGTTTGACTGGTTGGGGTAAAAAAAAAAAAAAGAGCACTGCTGCCTGAGACCTTAACTAATAATGGGAAAATAATGGGATTATGCTCAAGGAAATGCAAAAGTTTTGTTTTTCATTACTCGTACTGTTGACCCCATTAAATATTTTGATTTAAACATACCAGTGATGATTTTCTGATAGATTTTGTCCCCCCATTATCCCTCCCTTGCCCCAAAGAGTTACCATATGTTTTTATATGTAAGATAATGCCAGTAAACTAGGTATGCTGACAACAGAAACTGATGCTATGACATCAACTATGATTAATTCATTTTATTAGCTAAAATGTTAAATGTTTAGGACCTACCCCCTTATACATTCCATGCTAGAATGTATAAAGAACTATAGTGCCATAAATACACTTCCTAAAATAATATGCACTTCTTCTTAGTTTTCAATTTCTCCAAATTTTTTCAAACATGCTTCTTCTAGAAGCTCAACCTGCAAAAGAAACAAAACTATTTACCACTACAAGAAAGCAGACATGTTATTGATTTTCCTGTACAAAAACAAATATAAGACTGATATAGCAATAGAATACCACTAAAAATAAGTGGCGTGAATTACCAATACACTAAAGTTGCTTTGCACTATTCTGGGTACACAAAGTGATCTTGAATAGGGCTTAACTGGCTGCTAAAAAAATCTCCCTGCCACTGCAAACTCCTAAGCCCCCTTCAGTCAATGTCATAGGGGTTGCAATGAGCAAAAAAAGGTGCACAGCTGCAGTATTCCTAAAGCCAGTACAGTCCCGGCTGTTCTGCCAGCCCTAGTGGCCACTGGCAACAGATAGATTAAGGCTGTTTGGCTTCAAGGACTAGGTCAGGGTCTAAATTGGAGATATGAAAGTCTAGGAAGAAAAACAGAAGCTTTCAAGAAAGGGTGGTTTTCCTCCACAGTACCTGGTATGAAAATTTTGGAAAATCTGCAGAAACTGGATCTCAATATCAAGAGCAATAAACTTCATGTAATAAAAAAAGTCACTAGTTTGAAGAAATGTAAAAATGTTCATTAGTAAAGTGTCACAGGAGATTCAATGTCACTTGCTCCATAGTCTCTGTCCTCCTTATTTTTCCCCTTTTCAGTGTTATCTCTTTCTCGCCACTTGTTTAGCATGTTACATATTAGACATCAGATGACGAAAAACCTGGAGTCAAGATGGCAGTAAATGAGGTAGGCACACCAACGAAGCAAACAGGTACAACATCTGAATCTTTCCACAAGCTAACAGGACTGAAATGTTTTGAAAACAGAGCAACTCAACTGAGGGCAGAGCTACAGCCCCTGCTGCATGCCCACCAAAGCATGTCAATATTACCATGCCAGCTGGCAGGCAGGCAGTGTTTTATTCTCCTGTCATGGGGCATGAAAGTATCGTATTTGCCAGAATCCAAGACAAACTTTAAATTTAAGATGACTGCCTAATAATTAGATTCTATACATGGAAAATATGTAAATTTGCTACAATTTTTCATGTAAAGAATCCAATTATTGGAGGGTCATCTTAAATTCGCCTCTCTGAAACAGACCCCAGCCTTTTGCCCTGCCAATGCCTGTGCTTGTCTGGCTGCCTGCATCCCCTGACACTTGCCCCCTGACCCTCTACCACCTGCCTCCTCCACATGCCTATGCCTGCCCCACTGCTGACTGTCACTCCTGCCAGCTGACCTTTTCCCCCTCACAATCTCTCCTTGTGCTCCTTGTCCCCCTATGCTTGTGCTTGTGCCAGGCAGGTACTCTAAGACAAGGCTTCTGCCCCCTTCCTCTCATGAGTACTGAGGATAGATTCAAGTAAATACCATTGATTGGTTGGTCTTGGGGTTCCATCCTGGGGATGAAGGGGGAGAGCTGAGCAAATAGTCAATAAGTGCTCCTTAGTACTGGGGGCTCCCAGTACTCTGGACACTGCTGGGATCCCACAAGCTCCCAGTGCCTGCAGCAGCCAGACTGTTAGAAGCCCATGGAAGGGAAGAAGTCCACTGCATTGTGGTATGCCTATAGCACCAACCTACCACATACACACTTGTTACAAAATAAAGCAGTATAAAATAGTACCTGTTCCCTACAGGTACATTTTTGTCATGCTTTGGAGAGTTTTACTGAATACGTACACCTGTACCTTTTAAAGTATTTCAAAGTCATTTTAACACTGTTTGAAATGTTTCAAATATTACACCTGTCCACAGACTAACACAGAATCTGTGATGCTGCAGCTAAAGAGTGCATTTTGTTTCTTATAAAGAACTCATTTATAAATTTTAAAGGTGCAATGATATTAGACACGGGGAAACAATGAAGCACAGAGTTTTGTCAGTTGACACTGGCAGATTCTCTGGTTTTAGAGCACCTAAGGGTCAAGGTTTTAATGCATCTTACAGTAATTAGCAATTTCAAAAGTTGAGCCTAACAGTAGTAGATGGGAAATGCAAGTGTGAGAGACTTTTTTTAAAACTCATCTAAAATAATATTCTTAAAATTCATATGGTAAATCTGTTAAAGTAAAATATATTTATCTTATTATATTATTTCTTTGTAGTTCTTTGTTCCCAAAGGTTTTAAAAAAGAAACAACATTAATCATCTGGGTGTGACAAGGAATGTACATATTTACCTACTTGATTTCTATTAGTCCTGTCTTGATAATAGGTACCTAGATTATCTTTGTGATTTATAGATTTTCTAGGAAAAATATTACTGACATTCATTTGCTCATAGCGTATGGACTATTTCATATGTATTGCAGCTGGCACTCATTTGTGTGAGATCAGTGGTGTCTAAAGTATTGTGCTGTCAAATTTAATTAGTAAACAAAGGTTATTTGGGATAGAAAAATAATTCTTAACATGGTACAAGCTCCTTTAGGGAAGGTTGTGATCCGAGCGCACAGGGTAAAAGCAAAGAGATGTACTGTGCAAAGATAATAACTACAGGTTCCATAATTCCTTTTAGGATGAAAAGGACAAGTGTTCAATTTAAGAAGTTAAACATCAAGAGGTACTTTGAAAAGGGAACATGCCTTCTGTGTACAGACTGGAAAGAAAATTGTTTAGATTTTTAATTAAGTGTGTTGTAATGGAAAGATTAAGTTTCGCAATATTTTGATTAACTGACAATGTAGTATCCAAACATGCTACTCCAAATGTTTAAACACATGAGAAAAAGGTCCCTGAAGGTGAAGAGGAGAAAAGAGAATGCTAATCAGCACATAAGCTAAGAAAACATCAGACATATACAATTACCATGGAAGATATTAGGGATTTTTTTTAATTCTGCAGCTGTTTAGAATTTTCTACCATGTGACATTTTATCATGTTTATCCAACAATTTGCCATTCAATGCAAGGACTGAACTTGCAATGCAAATTAGTCCAAATGCTACAGTCTACTTAAAACTGACTGACATGTGTTTTCCAGCTGCCAGAACAATTGCTTTAGACTGTGGCAGCTTTTAAGATGCTTTCCTGACACCAGACCTTTCAAATGCATTGAGCAGTAATTTACTATTGTTGAGTCAAGTTCCCCAGATGTACCTGTAATGAATGAAATTCATTATCATATATTTACTGGTGACAGTCATAAAAATTCTAACATATGTGACTTCTGTTCCATTTCAGCAAATCCAATTATTTTCATTACCTTATAATTAGGAACCTACCAAATTCATGATTTTGCAATTGGTATGGAAACCAAAAATTTGGTGGGTCCCCTGTGAAAAAACATGGGGGAAAGAAAACTGAAAGATGGTCAACAAGTGTTGGGGGAGGGGAGGAAGGAGCTGAAAACAGAGGCGGAAAGCCCTGGTATCCTGAAGAATGGGGAAGAGGGAGGGGAGATTTTCATGGTAGAGCACGACAGCCCCCCCAATGCCTGACAGATGACCATCTGTCAATCTCCACGGAGGGGAAGGGAGTGCTGATGCACTCTGCCATGAGCACTGCATTTGGACTGCTGCATCAGGGGGCAATCCCCACAAATTAGGTACGTCCCTAATTATAATAAAAGGAATATGTGGATTATAATCATGAAACAATGCCTGCCTCAATTTTCTTGAATATGATTAAAAGCATTTTATCAAAACAACTTCCTGCCAATGTGACAGAAAGCCATGGCTCTATAGCTATGATGGGAATAAAAGTTTCAGCCCACCAATGCAGGCCTGATTTTTTTTGTAGCATACATGAATCCCAATCCAAGGTCAAAACCTTTCCCAGATGATTTGTGTAATTGTTGCATAAGACTGAACTTTACAAGAGAGTCCTCTGACCCTATCTTCCATTACCCACACATCTCTTTATAAAAAAGGAAGATCTTAAATCCTATGAGAGATTTCATAATATACATAAGACTGCCTTGGATGGACATTTAAAGCTATAAAAGCATAGTAATATGCACCACTAGAGAATAGGCTGTTTTAACTTTAGAAGTGAAAATATATTTGAGAAAAATACATAAATATATTTATACAGAATGTTGCTGCCTAAGTAAGAAAGACCACTAAGTAACGTGCTATCAAAAAGGTTAAAAATACAAAACAATTTTGATTTGTAATTTGGAACATGACTCAAAGGTGATCACGTATCATTTATACAATTCAAATGAACTGGAACACATTTTGTTAAAATTTTTATGCCCTTTTCGCTATACTTCTCAATGTATGGAAACAGCTTAGTATTAAAAAAATGTACACTAGAGAATGTATGAACTTGCCTATCCAAAAAGACTTTGTAGAGACCTGAGACTTGGTGAAGTAACAAAAAGCATTAAACAGATAAGAGGCTAAAAAATGAGCAACTGAAGGTACAACTGGGGGTGGAGGGGTGTTCAAGCTTCTTCGATTTAGCAGGCAAAGCAGACTTTGGAAGGAAGCAAAATTCCGTGGTTTGGTTTGGCTTGGTTTGGTTTGGTTTGTGGTAAACAGAGAAATATTCAGGATGGTGACTATTCTCTGGGTTCATGGGGGCCAGAACAAATAGTAATGGCCTGAAACTGCAACAAGGGGAAGCTAGGTCAGATATTAGAAAAAAATTTCAGGGTTGTCTGGATCTGCAGTTTTTCTTCACTGTGACCCAGGTTTTTTCTACTGGAGAAAGAAAATTACAATATGCCATAGCATGCTATTTTCTTTCTTGTCTTAATAGCAATTTAAATGTTGTTTTATGTGTTAAAAACAGATTTCGGACTCATCGAAACAGGCACAGAGTAGCTGTTTACTCATGCAGCTTGAATGGCAATTAACTTGAAAAGGTGTGTGGAGGGTGCATCAGAATACTTCCCAGGTCCTTAACGTGGGACAGTGGGTTTGTACTTAAGTAGTATCCCAGAAGAAAAGGCTTTGTAGGCAAAATCCACTGTCTGTTTTTAACCTGTGATGGTGGCTAAGATTGCTTCCAGAGGCTGTGGAATCTCCATCAGGTTAGACAAACTTGTCTGGAATGGTTTAGACACAGATATTTCTGCCTTGAGTAGCGGATTGGACTGGATGACATCATGAGGTCACTCCACCCTATGCCCATTTGCACTACATGGTACCTCTACAATAGATTACACTTTTCTGTTAGCACCAGTGATGGCAATGTTCTTCGATATGGAGGGCACATGCCCACCAGGACCTGGCTTGAAATCAAGTAATTTACAGGGAAGAAATATCCATAAATAAAAACATTCTTAGACATCTGTTTCTATTCCTCTGATTGCAAAAGCCAATGGACAAAAGGGTTTTTTTTTAAGAATACTTAAATATTTCAAGTAAATCATTAGATAGGAGTTTAATAGAATATTGTTAACCTTGACACATTACATTTTAATTGGAAAATGGAATCCATCCATAGTTTTGAAGATTTATTTTCTTTTTGTGACATCAGCTAATTACCAGTGTGTCATTTTAGAATACAGACAGGTACAACTTAAGAAAACTTAAAATTAAATATATTTGCCATCTCACTGTTGCTCTGTAGTTCTCTCATCTTTAATAATTAAATAATTTAATAATTTAATAATGATTTAATTGTTTAAGGATTCGGCATCATTTAAGGATGACTTAATTAAATCATCCAAATTCCATTCTCCCATTTTTCATACCTACTTGTTACTCTGAACCTGTTCTCTCTTGTGCTCCCTGTTTCACAGGTGTTGCAGGCACTTCCGTTGAACTCTGTTCAGGAGCAGCAAGCACTTCTGTTGAACTCTGTTTTGCAGGTGTGGTAGGCACTTCTCTGGAACCCTGTTTCACAGGAGTGGCTGGCACTTCACCATTGACACTTTCTAAAGCACTAACAGACATCAAGCTTTTCCGCTCTTTGGAAGTTGATTTGTTCTCTACTTTTGTGACTCTAAACCTGAAAGGAGCAACAGAAGAACAAATTTAGGATAGTTCCTCCATGCAGATTCGTTAATTAGCTATTGACATTCCACTGTCTATGTAGGAAACAAGTTTTTTTTGTAAGGGAGGCTTCAAGAACACACCAGGACCCCCAGATTTGGGACTTTCTAAGGGTCTTGTGACTGGATCATATCTACTTCTCTTGGAAAAAAAATAAAGATCTCATTATGACAGGACTGCAATACAGGGTGGGCAATCATGAGAAGTTGAAACAGAAAAAATATTAATCCAAAAGAAAAAACAAGCCTTCTATATCTGATATTTAGTGTTAAAAAAATCAGCAGAGAATGAGGCAGAGTTACTTACTTACAGTTCTGGCTCCCTTTAGGCAGGGAATTACAAAAGCATGGGTCTGGATCCAAAAACTCATGCATATACACAATTCCCAAGTCAAACGTACCTGCTACCAAGAAATTCTACAATTCATCAATGTCCTTGATCCAACTAAAAAGAATCATATCAGCCATAAAAGTCTCATGATAACATGACTAGCTTTGTTTTTCCTCAGCCATGGCACTAGCTCCACCAGGGGCATTGCCATCTTCCTCAGAAAAACTGAGACCAGTTTCAATGACTGCCAAGGAAGTCATTCCCAGTCACCTGCTAATGGTCCAAGCCACTATAGAAGCATTGCCACCTCATCCAAATTAACATCTATGCACCCAGTGAAAGGCAAGAAAGGGCATGCTTCTTCAGGAAGTTAGCTGACCTCTTACAGACTGCAGTCAATGACAATGAGCTCCTCATCCTAGGAGATGATTTTAACTGCATTCTCCAAGGAAGTCTTAACCAGAATGGACCAGAGGCCCATTCACCCTCTGCTCAACAGCTGCAGACCACTTCACCATGTTAAGCCTATCCAGTGTGTGGCAGCACACCTCAATGTGTGAGTGTACCAGAGTGAAGGTGAGCACCAAAAGGCTCTCCATGGCTCACCTAGATCAAGTCTACATCATTGTACTCTACCTGCCTCTGTGGTCAATCATAACTTTCAGACCATAGCCTGGTCTGGTGTGAATTGGGCTCTCCTGACTCAAATCACAGCTAAGCACCCTTTTGGTACCTCCATGTTAACCTCCTGCATGACCCTCCCCTTTGAGACTGTTCCCTGTACCTCTGACAGACCCGGGCAGCCATGAGATGCAATGTCCCCGCCTGGAAAG